TAATGGCAAAGCTGAGGCCTCCTGCGGAGGGAGAGTCTGTGACAGAGTGCGTGGGGGCTGCAAGCTGTTAGCACCAGACGAAGTAACATTGTTTCAGTGTGAGTTTCTCTCGGAGAACAGACTCGGATCAGATTTAGCACAAGATATTTTTAAAAACTGAAGGATTTTGCAAGAGATTTCCAGTTTTTCTCTCTGGTTTGTGTGAGACAGTGAATAAAACAAATACTGCCCAACTGGCTGTTTTCACTCTTGGGATACCTGCAGTTTGACACGTGAGAGGAGCTTGTTTTATGAATGAAAAAACTTGAGCTAACATTTGAAAAGTTAAGTGGCCTTACTATAGATGGCGCTCCAGCCATGGCTGGCTTCCAAAAAGGGTTACTTGCATTTGTCAAGAATGAACTGAATTGTCTCAGTCTTGATCCAAGTGACTTAATTATACGCCACTGCATCACACACCAAGAGGGTCTCTGTGCACAGTCGTTGCAGCTCAACAATGTGATGTCAAGAGTAGTGTCCTGCATAAATGTTGTCAAAAGCAGAGGGTTTAATGGCTGCCAGTTTAAGGAGTTACTGAATGATCTTGACTCTGAGTACGGTGATCTTGTTTATCACTGTGAAGTGTGGTGGCTGAGTCGTGGGAACATGCTCATGAGGTTTTACAAGCTTTGGGATGAAGTCAAGCAGTTCATGGAGATGAAGGGAAAACCTGTCAGGGAACCCAGTGACAGCAAGTGGCTGTGTGGTTTACTGTTCATGGGGGACACTACCAAGTGCCTCTCAGAGCCCAACCAGCTTCCGAGCTCCCTGCTTTCAAATGTGAAATCATTCAAAGCTAAATTAAGGTTGTGGAAAGTGCAACTGGAAAGGAATACACAGTGCATTTCCCCACTCTGGAAGGACAAATGCCTTCCAGACACTTGAATGTGCTGGTGACTGTGTGAAACTAATTGAAGCATTTAAAGAACGAGTCAAGGATGTGAAAAGTAAACAAATGGAATTGAACATCTTGGCTACATCCTTTCATTGTGGAACCAGCTGATGTGCCTGATAACCTACAACAGGAGCTCATTCAGCTGCAAAGCGACGATGATCTGAAAGGTAGGTGCAACAACCTCCCACTGCTTGAGTTCTATGAACGTTACATAAGCAGCGATGAATTTCCCACTTTGAGGAGACAGGCACTGAAATATGCATCCGTGTTCAGAACAACTTACTGCTGCGAGCAGTTCCTTTCAAAACATATCGCAGAGTCAACTGTGCTTCAGACTGACCAGCACAAACCCTGAAAAGCAGTTGCAAGTAGCAACGTCATCAGGACCAGTACCATCACACCTCTCACCAAAGAGAAGCAGTTCCAGCCGTCACATTAGGTTTGAGTTAATGAAATGTTTGACCAAATACAGCGGGTTAATTATTAAGTGGATAATTTTGAATGGCCGGGGAAGGATGTTATAAATATCCAAACGGCACTTGGCAGATAAAAGGTCCCCCGCCGCTGGTCTGAGGTCTCCCAGCGACACCCCAGTGGCCTGAGGAAAGCTTGGTGCTGTAGTGCTCCTGAGGCCCGGCCGCTGCGGCCGAGGGGGACCTTCACTCTGTTCGTTGGATATTCACTGCCAATAGGTTGCTCCGGTGTTAACTGAGAAATTAATTAATTTGTCCACACTGTCCACTGTACCCAGGGCTTTTATGAGGAAATAACGATGGATCCTGAAAGATCAAGAGGACCTTCTGGGCTTGGCTGGAATGAGAGCAAGTTGCCTGCAGCTTGAGCATCTCCGGCGATGTCATCAGGCACACAGGTAAATTCTGCAAACGGACACCGCCTCAGGAAAAAATTTAGCTCCTACTAAATCCTAATCCAAGGATGGGAGGAAAAAATGAAACGTCGTCTCAGAGGATTGAAAACAACTGGAAAGATCCAGAAACCACTTTGGTCCATGTGTGGAGAACAAAATTTTGCAGACAGTTAACTGTACTCGAGTCCACTGTCCACAACTGGGCGTTGTGATTTCTACTGAAACAGTTTCTTCTCCCCTTAAAATTATCCTCATTTTTATGAAAGAGGTAAATTAAGACTAATTCATTTACTGCATGCGGTCCAGTTTCAATTCAGACTGATTATTTGCTTAAACACAATAGGAACAGGAAGTAATTATATAGACTTCCTTAAATGTGCTTTGCTGGACTCTTACAAGGAGTCTCCAGACTGAGCTTTAATTAGTCCCAAAGGGCAGAGAAGCCAAACCACCAAGCTGCCACCAGGCTTTGCCTGCAATACCCGTCACGTGGTGAGTTCCTGAGTTCCCGAGATTCCTAGAATGTCTTCAGTTCGTCCTTTGCCATCTCCCAGGAAAGAGCCCTCGTTCCTCACTGGGAATGACTGCCACGAGCCACGTGAGCCACGCGAATGAGCCACGTGAATGAGCCACGTGAATGAGCGAGGCCCCAGGCCACTTCTCCAAGGGGCCTGTATCGGCTTCAGAGTCGGTCTCCACTCCTTCACGCTTCTGGTGACATCCAGCGTCCAGGCATGTTTCTCTCAGACACGACATTCCAGTCAAAGTCTTGGGTAATAAAAGCACAATTGGAAACTGGCTTTATGTGTCCTGTTATGAAGAAATCAGATTCTTATTGGATTTATGCAAATAAACCTATTGCCATGAGAATAATAAGGACAGGTTTCCAAATTCCAGAAGGATCAGACAGAGAGAAAAATAAATATGCCTCAATATTGCTTGTTAAGGTACAATTTACCAAATTGCTTTAAAAATAAGTTTCCTTATGTCTAGGAAACAAAAAGATTAAAAATCAGCAATAGTTACAAAAAGTTACAAAAACTACAAGCATCTTCCCTCCATTCAGTCCCTCAGTCCCGTAACCAATTTTTGTTTCTTCTGAATATTTGCAAGTACTTCCATACATCCAGATCGTCCATAGAGTTCTAGTAATCTCCATCCAGTTCAAGAGTACGATCTGAAAATGTATTCTCAGAGACACGTAATTTAAAATAAGTCAGAGTCCTTTCCAGTCAAGTCTTACCCAGTCAGACTTGAGTCCAATGACTCCTCAGAGACCTGTTCACAGCTCTGAAGAACCAAACCTAATGCCAGGCCCAGAGCAGAACTGGTTACCAGATTTCTGTTACAGAACACCTGATATGATGTCGACTTATCCAGATTTGGTCTGTAGGCCACAGACAGCCAAAGGCCTAAAACCAGGCAGGCCCTCTTCCCTCCAAGCACACATCCAGTCTCGTTAAGCAGGTGAAGTGAGGGGAGGCGCTGAGGTCTGGAGACCAAAGACCTCCCTTGGCAAAACCACCAGGCAGCCACGGAGATCTTGGCTCAGGGTCGGGGCTCCCCTGTCCAGGCGTCCTCTGGGACTCCCCAAAAGCCTTGCTAGGACCTACTGGAGAGCCCCAACATTGTTCAGGGGGAGTCACCAGAAATTCAAACGAGTTCAGCGGAGTCCCCGTGCTCCTGCTACTTGTCATCACCCAGTCAAAAAGCAGAGGCAGGGATTGGATTACAGGTGTGTGTTTGACAGTATCAGATGCCAGAAATCTGGAGAGGTGACAAGTAAAAGCCCTAACACTCGCCTTCCCCTTAAGCTTGTTAGGAGAAAGCTTACATGGGGGAATCAGGGAAGGGGGTGGGGGCAGGGACTACAGAGGGGTTCTGGTGGTTAGCGGTCCTGGTATTTGAGTCTCTGGGGGGGGGTCTTGGGTCTTGATAAAGGTCTTCATTGCTGGTGCCTGAACAGGAGGGTCAGCATTCTGAGACCGCTCAGGCAGTGGGCAGGTGTGCGTCATCCCAGTGTCTCTGAGACCTAACCGATCAGCCTCCGACTCCTGGAGGCCAGGCACGTCAGTTCAGGGCTGGGTTAGAAGTCTCTTTCTTTGCTGGTCAGCTGAGAACTACAGCAACATCTCAGCCAGCAGGTCAGGTTAAACATATACAGTTGGTTAATCAATTCCACCTTCTGCTAGTAAAAGGGTGGGAAAGGAAGAGAAGAGGAAAAATTAAAATCATTTTTATTCTACCCTGTACCCCTATCAGGACTGCACCTCACCGTGGCTGGAGGGCACACCAGAGGCGAGAGCACCAAGGACAAGGCTCAGGGGCCCCGTGGGCGCCAGGGGAGGGGCAGGAGGAGAGGTGGACCAGGCCGGGCAGGGCCGTCAGGTGCTTTGCGTGCTGTGCTCAGCAGCCTGGCTCTCTCCCCGGGACATGGGGAGCTATGGAGTCTTGCAGCCCAAGTGGCAGGTCTTGCCCAACATTAAAACAGTTGTCTTCGTGTTATAAGCTTCTTAAGGGCGTGGTTCCCACAGTTGGGAGCAGGATTTAGAACAATCATGTTGACAGCATCTAGAAACACTTAAGCCCCGAGGATCTCACCTAGACTGCAAGAGGGAGGTGTAATCCGATCACCCTCAGCAGAAACCAGGATATCTGGGCCCAATTCCTGCTATGTCACCAGCCAGCTATGTGACCCTGCGCTGACACCTGCCTGACACCTCTCTGGGTGTCAGTCTCTTCATCTGCAATATTAGGGGGTTGACTATCCGCCCCCCCCCCCCCCCCGCCCTTCTAACCTGGATTCCCTGCTGTGAATCTAAAACCTCCATTCCAGCCCCTCGCCCTGGGGAACAGCACTGATCCCAGAGCCAGGGAGGGGAAGGTTCGGCCATGCCTGGTGCTCACATCGGGGGGCAAAGCTGGCCGGGACCCCCAAGGATCCCCAGCCCTCCTCCGGCCACTGGCTATCAGGAGGGAGGGAAGGTGCTCCCTCAACCAGGCAGCGTCAGGGTCAGGGGGAGGAGGGGTACCCGAGGAGAAACAGCTCGCCAGGGAAGGCAGCAGAGTAGGGTGGAGGGAAGTGAACTAACCAAGCAACTTCCTCCCCGACCAGCTCCAGGCCCAAGACTGGGAATTTCACAAAAATACAGAAGGATCTATGTGAACATTTCCTGTCCCGCCCCAGCCAGCTTCCTGGCAGCCCAGCTGGGGTTACCACATGCTCACCTGTGAAGCAATCTTCCCACTAGAGGGCTGCGTCGGCCCGGGAGGCCTATAAATGCTGGGCTCACAGGACACTGACAAACCTCTCTGTGTGACTCCTCAGCTGAGGTAAGTAAGCTGCCCGGCCCTGGGCAGGAGCCTGCCTGGAGTCCCTCACACCTTCTACCCGCCTTCCTTCCTAACCCTCCTGGGTTCACTGCTCACCTCGCAGCTTCCGTCACACGACTGTGTTTGGCCATGTCCTGCTGGGCCCCCTGCTCTCAAGGGCTCTGCTTTGTGACATTCTGCAGATATCCTAAAAATGATTCCGCCCATGTGTGGGACAGGCTTATTTCCCAGCTGAATAAAAATCGCTTTCTTCTTTTTCTGTGTTCCCCCTCCATTTCTGCGAGCAGCCAGGGGAGGTGCCTTTTCCTTTGGGCACCTGACCCCTGGCTTCTCCTTTGCTCACAGTACAGGAAGCCGGCCACCATGTCGTCACTGATGGAATGCAGCATCGAGACCATCATCAACATTTTCCACCAGTACTCCACGCGCCTGGGGCACCCCGACAGGCTGAACCAGAGGGAGTTCAAGCAGATGGCGAGGAAGGAGCTGCCCAACTTCCTCAAGGTAGGGCTGGGCTCCTGGCCGCCTGACCCGGCCTGGCGACAGTCTGAGCTAAGGGTAGAGGGTGGGGGTGCCGTCTGCAACGCTTGAGGGGAAAAGTCTAGCCTTCGACCCAGTTCCAAGTACGACTGACTGACCCTGTGCTGTGTGCCGGCCCTGTCCCGGGAGAGACACACAGCAAAGATGCTGACCGACAAAGCACAGATACATCCAGTGCCAGTGTGTGCCCCAAAGACAGAGAGATGCGGTGGGTGAGTTGGGCTGGGCAGGGGAGTGGTGATGAGTTAGGTGGACAAGAAGGGCCCCTCTGAGAAGGTGGCATTTAGCTGAGACCTGGGTGTTGAGGAGAGAAGCAGGTGAGGAGTAGCCTTCGCAGAAGCCAAGGAGACTAAGCCTCAGGTGGTCAGAGGAGACCCCAGGCCCTCTGCTGGTCAGAAGGTCTCTGCTAGGGAATGAACGGCCTGTGCAAAGCCCGCCCAGCTCGGGCATGTACACAGCAGTCAGGACCGTGTGATGTATTTGCTGATCTAAAAAGGGTTAGGCAGTTCTGGGGAAAAGGAGGATTTGTTCTATCAGAAGTTTTGTTTCTTTACACATGTGGGGACTTTGGGGAGCAGAGGCCTGGACTAAGAAGGGTGGTGGGCGTGGGTACCAGTCTCAGTTCTATTCCTGGGCGGATGTCCTGGGCCAGTGGGCAGCCCGCCCTGAGCTACCCCCACCGGGGTGGTGCAGAGAGTTGCAGCAGTTGGAGATGTTAGGGACGCGGACAGCTCCCCGTGGGTGGGGCCTCACTCAGCAAGCAGGATGCCGCATCCACAACAGAGGGTAGTGCCGGCAAGACTTCCTCTGCTTGAGGCCTGGGCCTGCTCATCTCCACCCCTCCCCCCTGCCCGGAGCAGAGTGACAGGCCAGGAGGGGGAGCTAGGACCTTGCCAATGGCTGCGTAGGAGTGACTGGTCATCCCCAGGGCAATGGCACATGTGCAGAAAACACAGGCCGTGCAGAAGCATAGCAGGAGGGAAGGGCCTTGGAGATGAGCCGGGCAGCTGCAGGTTCCAGAAGGGACTTAGCTGAGGTGCCCCAGCCAGCGAGTGGCATAGCTGGAAACCATCCCTGGAGCTCACCTCCCCTTGCACACCCCACATACTTCATCACACCCTTTGGGGTCAACGGAGCACCCACACTGCTCTGTCCCTACACAAGACCCCAATCATCTTGTTTTCCTCAAGTGGTTCCTGTTACACAGGTTGAAATGAGTGTCAGTAATTTGTAACCGCGAGAGGGACGGGAGGGGCGAAGTGGACAGGAGCTGAGGGGCTGGGACCAGACTGGTTCTGGGGCAGACCTGGTGGTGTGCAGAGTAACTGCAAAGTAACCAGCAGCCTGTTGATGGTCAGTTTTAAGTTTGGGACTGAGGTCCAGAAGCCAGTTCTCCCAGTGACTTGGCCTTCGGGTCTTGTGCTGTGCCACCCAACCCTGGCCCTGACCCTCCTGTCTCCCAACTCACAGAAGGAGAATAGGAAGCCGGGGGCCGTGGAGGACATCATGGAGGACCTGGACACAAATGGAGACAAGGATCTGAGCTTCGAGGAGTTCGCCATCCTGGTGGGCCGGCTGACGGAGGCATCGCACGAGGAGATGCACAAGGGTCACCCCAAAGGGAAAGGCCACAGCCACGGGCCAGGCTTCGGGGAGGGCCAGGGCTCCTGCCAAACCCAGGGTGGCCACAGCCACAGCCATGGTGGTCACAGCCACAACCACTAATCAGGAGGCCAGGCCACCCTGCCCCTGCCCAACCAGGGCCCCAGGGCTGTGTGCACACAGCTGAGGCGGTGGCCCTTAGCTGCAGGGCTGGGGGCTGGGATGCAATAAAGTGTTCCTCCAAACCAGTGCTCTGTGTGCTTCCTCCGCCCCCTCGCCACCTGTCTTCCCCGGGGTCTGGGCTAGAGGCCCGATGCCCCTGGACTGGGGCCAGGCCCCTTCAAGCAGCAAGTCGTTCTGTTCTGAGCCCCTTACTCTCACCTCCCTGAGCATTTTCTCACCTCTGACCTCAGGCCTTACTGCTCAGGTCCTAGTCACCCCAACCTAGCTCAGGACTTTCCTATCCAACCTGTCAAATCGGCCCTTGTCACCACAGAAAGCAAAAAGGGGGTATCCCATCCCCTCGACATGGCAGCCACCACCACCACCACCCAGCCACAACCTCTTCACCCAGTGCTGACCACACAGCCGGGTCTCTTCTAACCGAACCTGGTTCGGCGGAGGCCGCAGACAGCGCTAGGCCCGCCGGCCGGAGGAACGGGAGTGTGGGCACTGGCGACGGGCCAGGCTGGGTGCTTAGTCACAGACGAAGTTCCAAATCCACCACAGCAGTCTCTCAGAGGAGCTCTCTCGTCCTCCCCATGGACCCCGGGGCAGGGGTGCACATGAGTGAAAGTCGGGGAGTCCAGCCCACACTCAGCAGCCCCAATGAGGAGGTTAGATCTGGGTCCAGAGAGCCTTTTGGGCTTGAAGATTCAGGTTCTAAGCCTGAAGGCAAACTGCCCTCCCTGAGGGGACCGAGGTTCCTCCAGGCCCTGGTCAGTCGCTGATTGCTCAGGCCAGCAGGGACACTTGCTTCTGTCTGCAAAACCTGCAGTTGGGCCCTGGCCGGTTTGGCTCAGCGATTAGAGCGTCGGCCTGCGGTCCAGAGAGACCTGGGTTCGGTTCCTGCTAAGGGCGCGTACTTCGGTTGCAGTTTGTCCCCAGCCCTGGTTGGTTGTGCAGGTGGCAGCCACTCGATGTGTCCCTTTCACATCAATGTTTCTCTCTCTCCCTCCCTCCTACTCTATCTGAACAAAAAATGGAAAAATGTCCTCGGATGAGGATAAAAAAAAACAAACCTGTAGCGGGGCCTTGCTCCAGACCCACCGCTCATTTCGAGCCCTCCAGTGACGCCGCTGCCTTCTCTCCCTGCCCTCTGGCCTGAGAACATCACCCCCAGCCTTTCCCAGTGTCCCACCAGGGCAGGGTGGGCCCTTTAAAGACCACAGCCCAGATCAAGGGTGTCTGCCCCGCCTGTCCTCCCACAGAGAAAAGACCGACCGAATGAGTATTTGGGGGAGCTGGAGGACTGAGTCATCTACCCTCCTGCCACCAGTGAGAAAGCAGCCCATGGTGGTGGGGTGGCCACGATGGGGCAGAGAGGAAAGCCCCTGAAACCGTCTTCTCCAGGGGCTGCTCCGGCGCCTGCCCAGTGCTGAGCATGGAGACAGGAGCGCGGTCAGGTGTCAGACCCCGCCCTCCCACACTGCCTGGCTGCCGGCCCTGCTCAAGGGCCCGGGCCTCTGCTGCCGGAGCAAAGGCGCGAGCTCCCACTGCGGGGCAGGGGGTGCTTCCAGGAACTGCTCCTGGCTCTGAGCTTGGGGGACCGAGCTTAGAAGCCCCCAGTTCCTTCCCTGCCTGGCTTGGGGATCTGACCGCTGGAGACACTCACATTCTGACACCTCTGCTCAGCTATTCTGCTGCCCCGTAGGGTCGCCCCTCTGCCTGCAGCTTGGTAGGGGAGAGAGAGCCAGCCTGAGAGTTGGGAGGCCTGGGTTCTGTCAGTGGCTTTGCCAGGACTCCATGCTTCAGGTAAAGTAGGGAGGGGAGGGGAGGGGAGGGGAGGGGAGGAAAATAGAGTGGGGTTAGGGCTATGGTGAGGGTGAAGTAAGGTAGGGGAGGGGAGGGGCTTAGGGTGGGTTAAGATAGGGGAGGATAAGGTAGGGAACAGGAGAGAAGGGGAGGGGAGGGGAGAGAAAGGGGCAGGGGATGGGAGGGAATGTGTCACACATATGTTTGTGAATCCGCCTCCCCCTTGACTGTGAACCCACCATCCATCTTATTCTCTGTTTTTTTTATCCTCACCTGAGGACATTTTTCCATATTTTGTTCAGATAGAGTGGGAGGGAGAGAGAGAGAGAGAGACATCTATGTGAAAGGGACACATCGAGTGGTTGTCACCGACATGACCCTGCGGGGACAAACTGCAACCGAGGTACATGCCCTTAGCAGGAACCGAACCCGGTTCTTTCTGGACTGCAGGCCGACGCTCTAACCGCTGAGCCAAACAGGCCAGGGCTATTCTCTTTTTTATTCCCAGCACCTCGAGTAGTGGCTGATATATAGTAGGTCATAGTAGGTTCTCAACAAATACTGACTGTACAGCTGTTCTGATTTCTCTCGTGTTCCATGAGTGAGACGCGTGTGGAGAAAGGAGGGTGGGATTAAGTGCAGCAGATGGGAGGCTTCTGGGATCACCAGTGAGCCGCACACTGGCAGGTAGGGGGCAGCGTGCTGACGGAGCTAAAGCCCCTCCCCAGCTTGACTCCTTCCGGCCTTCATCTATTATGCACTAGAAGCTTCCATTTGAAGGAAGGAATTTGTCTAGAGAAAAAGTTTGAAATTGTTGATTTAACCCAGCCTGCCCCACCCCCACGCTTAAGTGAGTCTCCCGAAAATCCCCGCCAAGTGGTTGGCAGTGCCCGCCTCGCACCCCTCCAGGAAAGGGAGCTTTGTCCTTTGCCAATGACACAGAAAGTCCTTCGTTACACTGAGCCAGACAGTCTCCCTGTACCTGCTGGGTATTAATGCCCATTTCCCTCCACATCCACGGGGTCACAGGAAAACCCAACCCCTTCCCACCAACACCCACTTCTTCAGAACATTTCCCTCAATGGCATCCAGGCTCGCTCTGACCTCTGTACCACCCTGGGGTCTCTGTGTCACTGCCTCCAGGAAGACTTCCCTGACTACCCACCTTCCTCAAGTATACAGAGGCTTCCCTGGCCAGGCCCATCGGACTCGCTGATACAGTGATACCTCGGTTCTCGAACATAATTCGTTCCAGGAGGACGGTCGAGAACCAAATTGTTCGAGAACCGAAGCAATGAAACCCAATAGGAAATAATGGAAACTGGATTAATTCGTTCCAAGCCCCAGAAAATGCCTATTTACTGGCCTAATTTGTATATAATATGTAGAAAAACATAAGTCTCAACAAGAAATAAAAGTGTACAGTATGTCTAAGGGTTAAATTCAGTGTAAAGCGTGACTCTCTCCACAAAGCGTGACTCTCTCTCTGCACTCACACTGATGACGCGAGCAAGGCGCGCTGGGCCGAATGAACGCCATTCGGCTCAACTCGGCTCATCTCGGAAGTTCGAGTTCCAAATATTTGTTCGGATTCCAAGACAAAAGTTTCTCGAATCTCCTGGTCGAATACCGATTTGGTCGAAATCCGAGGCATTCGAGAACCGAGGTATCACTGTACTTCTCCCTTGCACTTTGGCGCGAAGCTGAACCCCTTCTCAGCAAGGCTGAGGGCCCTAAGGCGAGGGCGATGCTGGGTCTCCGCACCCAGGTGCCAGCAGGGAGCGAGCGTCAGTGAGCCTCCCGGTGACTGAGTGAAGGTAGGGTGGTCCGGGGCCCTGATGGAGAGGGAGGGTAAGAGGGGGCAGCCTTGGGGATTAGGGCTCGTCCCCGTGCAACCTGAAGGCTGGGAGAGGTTGGAACAGCGGGTGGCAGGGAACTGCTCCTAGACGCCAGGCGCTCTCCCTTCGCCTCGTTGCTCTACCAGCTCAGCCCGAGGGCGGGGAAGAAGGCCGGGCGGTAGGCCACTCCACACAGCTCTGCGCGGTTTTCTTTGAACATATTAAAGAGAGCCCCTTCCACCCCAGTAGCCCCTTCCATTAAACAAAACAAACAAACAAAAAACTGGTTCTGCTGAGTAGAGAGTTGGCTTCGTCCCTGACACAGGCCATGAGCGTGTCGAGGTTAAGATGCCTACCCCGGGTGAGAACTGCTGACTACCTCTACGATTCTTACGGCATCCTTTGGGAAATAAGAACTTCGGGGTTTCCCCTGCCTCACAGAGAACCTGTCGACGCGGAAGGGGGACCTGCTCCCCTTAGCTGTGGAACCTGAACTTCTGGAAGGCTTTTGGGAGGGGTGAGGAAGGAACAGCAGCCTAAGCTACTGGACTCTGCCCAGACGCTTAACGCTGACTGTGCTGCGGGGCCCGGTGATGTGAGATGCTCCCGGAACTGGGGGCAGACGGGTGACTGCGTCACCACCTGCTGGTCCGCTCACTCAGTCACTCAACAGACACGAGTCATGTCATGACCTCACTGTCTGTGGGCACGATAGCTCCGGGGGCCGCTGCAGTAAACGGGGCTTCACCCTGTCATTAAGGCACTCCCAGGCCGCAGGGCAGACGAGACAGGGCCGCAGTGGTTCTAACCCAGAAAATGAAAGGCCAGAGAGGTGAATAGTTCCGCAGAAGGCAGATCAGAGTGACTGCCAGCCTGGGGGCAGTGCGCGTCCCCCCAAAATGTGCAGGTGCTTGAGACAGTGGAGAACATGTGTGCACAGTCCTGACAGTGGGCGGGGTGTCTGGGCAGGACGGAGGAGCCCAGGGTTCGAGGGGGCAGACGCCAGGCCCGAGAGCTCACGCTTCCAGCCGGAGGGCAGAGGGCAGGAGCAGCGGAGGTCAGAGGAGGGAACTGGTACAATATTCACATCGTAGGACAGTCCCCTGTGCGCTGTGGGTCTGCGGCGGGAGGGAGGCCGCCCCACCATCCGGGGTCTCAAATATCCGGCCGTCTCAGCCAGGTGGGCATGCTGCCACCCGTTGCCTGGGACCTCGCTGCGGCTTTCGCCAGCCTGCTGGGGCAATCTTACACAACCCTGGCACAAGCCCTGCTCAGGAGCCTGCCACAGGAACCAGCCTCCGTGCCCTGCCCTGCCTCCCGCGGTTGCGGAAAACTTCCATTTTAGAAAGCCGGGGTGGCGGATTTTGACATTCCAGTGACCACAATGACAACAGGACAGAAACAAGGGGTTGCCCAAGTCCTGTTGCCTCTTGTGG